TAATTTTAGACGAGACTCGTCTCTGAGACGTTTGTGGAGCTATAAAGGATTATCTATACATTATAAGATTTGAGATATTTGCCTCCAAGGCTAGATAGTGATTTCATTTCGAAATTTGTCAAAAGAATTAAGTCCCAAGAATCAATATTGGACTATTATGGAGCTTTGCCTCAGGAGCATCTGTAGATAAGGAATATTTGGTATAAGTTTACCTCTGGAGAGTATGTACTTTAGAAGTTAATAGAATAATCATAATATATGGCTATATATGCCAGGATTATAATCAGATCATTGGACTATTATTGAATTTTGCCTCCGGGGCATATGTAGATAAGGATTATTTAATATTAAAAGTTTACCTCTGAGGAATAATCTACTTTAGAAGTTGAAAATATGATATTAACAAAATGGTTTTATATGCCAGGATTATGATCAGATCAATTGAACTATTATTGAATTTGCCAACCGGGCATCTGTGCATAAGAAATATTTGATATCAAAAGTTTACCTCCAAGGGATGTGTTCTTTAGAAGTTGATAATATAATATTAACAAAATGTGGATTCATATGCCAGGATTAAGATCAGATCATTTGACTATTATTGAATTTTGCCTCCGGGGCATCTGTAGACAAGGATTGTTTTATATTAAAAGTTTACCTCTGAGGAATAATCCACTTTAGAATTTGGAAAATATAATATTAATAATATGGCTTTATATGCCAGGATTAAGATTAAGTCATTGGACTATTATTGAATTTTGCCTCCGGGGCATCTGTAGATAAGGATTGTTTTATATTAAAAGTTTACCTCTGAGGAATAATCCATTTTAGAAGTTGGAAAATATAATATTAATAATATGGCTTTAAATACCAGGATTAAGATCAGATCATTGGACTATTATTGAATTTTGCCTCCGGGGCATCTGCACAATATTTAATATAAAAAGTTAATCTCTGGGGGATTTAGAAGTTGATAATAGAATATTAATGATATATGGCTTTTAATGCCAGGATTATGTTCCGATCATAAGTCCGGGACACCTCCGAGGTGCTGCCCAAAGGGTCATTGTGTATGTGGAGTTTGTATGTACGATATTATTATACGCCAATAAATAGCGACATAGCGGCACATAAGAGCCAATGCAAATTTATATGGGGGTTGTGTTCTTTTAAGATTTAAGTACGGAGGACCAGTTTTAATTAAAGTCAATGTTAGAGTCAGGGTCGGAGTCAAAGCCAAGGTTACTTGTGCCTGAAAAAAAGTTCAATGGCGAATCAAAAAGAAATACTTACCCAAAAGTATCCAATATTCTGCATCAAGGCGGCGAAGATAAGATACAATATCATTCGCTAAAAATAAAAATTAATGCTGACATAAAATATATTTAAGAGAAAATTTATTATGCCTATATTATCATTTGCCTTCTCCACATTGATAACGTGGCAAATGGCCGTTTTAAGCTAGCCTTACACTTGGCGGACATTGTCCGACTTTGTCAGTTTTTCCTTTTTGTCTCAACTCAACAATCAACAATCATCTGACATGAGACAAAAAGGTGCAGTGGACATTGCTCCCTGATATAGCTCCCTATAGCTCCCTTAATATCCGATTTAATTTTGTCCGCCGAATCTCTGGCTAGCCTTAGAAAGGTTCTCCTACGGTAGATGTTATACTTTCAATGTTTTCAAAACAGATGACGTATATGTTGTCGTTTTTTACCAAAACTATACTATACACTACAGGGTGGTCCAAAAAAGGGACACACGTATTTCAAAAATAAATATTGATTTTCTTGATGAAAACCATTTTCGAGAACGTAGTGAGAACTAGTTTGGTGTGATAGAAGGTTTACCTGAGAAAAGATTCGATATCTTCGGAAGAGCAATATAATGCTGATGATGACAACACTGAAAATTAAATTACATTTTCAATCATTTTGAAATGGTAATATGTATTGTAAATTATAACAAGTCAGAGTGTTTGTGAAAAAAATCTACTGGTCTTCATCGTGTATTTACGTTTCGCAAAATTCGTGATGCTTTTTTGTTTTCTTACCATCCAATAAAAGAGAAAGATGCAAACACCTTCAGGACTGTCACCAAAACGTACTGTAATAGAAAAAATGTCAACTATTAAACACCTGGCCATGGCAGGAATATATCATTAGACTAAAATGTTGATCTCCATGGCCATGTAAAATGTTCATTTCCATTCAGGGCACAATGTCTCTCGTTATGCTGACGATTAAACAGAAAAGAAACATATTTTAAACAGTTTTATTAATACACCATACATCATGACACATGCACAGTAAAACTTGTCTAATCCAAACGCTTTTGGAACTGACAAAGGTGTTCAGATTGATTGGTGTTCGACTTTCGATGTTTCCTAAGATGATAGTCTTAACATATTTGAAAAATGGAACCAAAAGCACGTCATTGAGAAGTGTTTAAATTAGAGAGGTGTTCTGATATTCATGTTCTTCTGTACATGTTATCGTGCGACTTCGAAATGTTTCACTATTAAGAGATTACTTGGCAAGATTGCGTCAAGGCAATGACATGGATAAGCACATGGATGGCACCCGGAACATCCTTTCTCCGTAACATGAAAGGGACAGTGCCTAATAGAGCATGGATATACTTACACATTGGCTATCTCTATCAAACAATGTGCACTCAACTTCGGTACCATTCGTCTCAGGAGTAGTTGCAGCCTGTGAAGATAAATCCGTTACCATGGTACATGTAGTCGTTGCCATACTAATCGCACCCGTTGGCATGGTATGAATCCAAAAGTAACAGTTAGTATTCACTGAGTCAATATGTTTGCAGATTACTGCGCAAAACTCAATATGTCCAATCAATATTATTTGTGTATTATCATAAAATGCAACTGAACATCACAGTTTAGTTGTCCTGTGTACGTCAGGTATATTATCCAGGTATATCATCCAATCGGATACTTTCAATCATGCGGCAATTATTGCTTCCTGGTTAGTTTCTCGGGCCATTCTCACATTTCCGAATTCAGATATTTACCTCGGCTGTTGACAAATCCAAATGTTACATTTGGAAAAATATAGTTCAGCAATTTGTATCGACAAAAGTGAAAATTCATAAAGCAAACGGAAATGGTATTCCCCTGTTATATATTCAATTACAGCTTTTGTGAATAATGCTGAATAATGCTGAAAGGAGTCGGGGTGTTATAGTATAAAAACATGTAAAATTCTATATAACGACATTTTAATGGCATTATAAACAGTCAGTGCAACAAAATTAGATGATTACAAACATCACGGTATATAACAATAACAACAAGACATTAACATAACAAAATGTCACCACCTAGTTGCTCACAATATTATGAGTTCTGTTCAATCTAAGTCCGATTTGAACTTTTTTTAGTTGATTTTGAAAAAACTGGTCAAATTAAAGCAAGTTGAAAAAAGCCTTTTGACCTTTCTGACTTTGAGAAAGTCAAAATTCAAATATAGAGTCAGATCTTAACTTCTGAGAACCTGTAGATGATTCTAAATTAAAGTTATTGGAAGTTGCAAGAATTTGTTACAGATGCCAAACACTAACAACCAAGCGCAAACCACCAGATACCAACCGCGTTCACGATTTCGAGATCATAACAATATGTCACCACTGTTAGGTGGTGACATAAAAATAAACGCTGGATTGACAGGATTAACCCCTCAAATTAAACTAAATGTACAGGTTGAGCCAATGATAACCACAACAAAGCTCAATAACTTAGTCATCAAGTATGTGCTTCTAAGTTATATATGGCACAACCGAACCAACTTTGTTCAATGTTCTTCCCTTCCAAAAGGTTTCAATGGTCTAATAAAAGTGACTTTCACAGACTTTAGAGGCTGAAATTGGGGATTTCAAGAAATACTTTTCAAGAAAAAAGTCTTACCTTTCTATTAGGAAGGGTTCAGGTGCCAAAAATTGCTGATCCGTGAATATATCATTTTGAAAATTGGAAGTAAGAATTTTGTTTTGGAGGCCATGTTTTTTTTGACAGTCATGATAGGAAATAGAATCTCAAACTGAAACCTGGATTAACAGCATTAATTCTGAATTTGGCTTGGAATATTTACTCAGATATGTATTCTGATATTATTAGCATGATTATTGACTACTATTTAATAATTGTGGTGTAGTGGAAAAATATTTTTCTAAAATTATGAATAAATATTATTAAATACATCCGGAAAAGTCAAGCTGAGGCTATGGCATAGTGGTTAGAGCACCAGGCTTGTAACCATAGTTTTGCAGGTTCAAACCCGGCCATGGCAAATAATTTTCTTTTTTTCTTTATTTATTTTATTTATTTTATATATTTTCTTTATATCATTTCATATGGCACAGTGTCATATTTATTACTTTTTGGAGTTTCAAAATATAGGTAAAATATCTGTGTGTGGCTTTAAGAAATTAAGATATTATACATATTATTTCAACTTAATTTAATTTAAGATATTGTGTCAAAAGGCTTTTTGCAACCATTAGTGAAGTATTATATTAATAGAAGTAGCACTAAACTGCATAAGAAATACAATATTCGATGAATTATGATTTTTTGCTGACAATATATAAACATGTAAGATATGCTAAATGGTACATGACACGTTAAACTGTTGAAGGCTTATGTAAAGCTTAAACCACTTTGTACATGCCTATATATTATACTCTCACCCAATATTATCGAGATATGTGTCAATTTATAAACAAAAGAAATGAAAATATCAATTGACATACAGTATGTATCTATTACATATTATGTATTTATTTTTGTACATAAATAGCTTATACGTAACACTCTTCAACTATTGAATACAAATAACGTACAATCATATTCATATGTAAAGCATTTTAATCAGTTTTTAATCAGTCAATCAGTTTTTCTCATTTATTTATTTTCATGAAATATTTTGTGTGTTAGTACATGGGCTTTCGACAAGAAAGATTGAAAGCCCATGGTTAGTATAATGTTTTCAATTTTGCTTCGTACTCTTTATATGGGTATCTACATGTAATCTAAATGTACACGATACTAATTTCTATCCACTACATTGGATGGAACGTATTTCTGCTCATTGTCCCTTACTATCACATTCGAGTTTCATTATCTGTTCCGGTGCTTTCATCAAAGCCCTGTATATTAATCAGATCCACTGGATCACCCACTGGGTTGGGAATGACCGTGGGGTTGTATTCTTGTATGGAGGTGTTGTACTCCATGCTCGTACTCCGGTGTAATATAGCAGTCTAGAACAAATACGAAAGTGAAGAAGGATATAAGGCCAGAAGCACAGACGGTTTATTCATTTTCCTTAATAATTTTGGACATATTGTGCAATATTTACAAATATTTATTAGTAAACTAACAAATGAAAAGTTCAAAGGTAAACCCTTACCCTAATGGGAAATCTTACCCTAATGGGAAACTCTTATCCCTATCTGCATCCTAAGTCCAATTTACACCAATGTTTAAATCCGTGAAATAATCTAAATGGTGCAGGTTTGGGTATAAAATTGGAACATTCATTGCCCCTTTTATACACTATTTGTTATTCCGAAAAAATAAGTGATATAAAAGTCAACAAAATGGGATCTCTTTGCCAATCGCTTGTTCGTCAGCATTATTTGTAAACTGCTAGATAGTCAGTAGTCACTATCAGCCAAATTTGCTTCATAAGTGGTTACATTTCATCATGGATCCAAAAACCATTATGCAAATGAATTACTCGCAATTAATTGTTTTAAGATATCTTAATTTTGGCAATGATACATTAGTTACAAGCAACTGAAAAATGTTCCATTTTAGGGCCCACCCTAGTATTTTATATATAACTATAACATGGGTACCTTAACATTCGAATGTCGGATCGCCTGTATAGTCTGGCGATCAAGCAGGAAAAGAACGGCATACACAAATCCTAGAAAAGAAACGTTCAATATCATTCTAAAGGTATGTCCAATGCCACTTACACATGCAGGATGTACACAAGGACACCAAATGGGGAAAGTTATTGCGAAACACGGCAAGAAATGGCAACTCACAAGGGAAATAAACCACAATGTCCAAAACTATAAATTTACGCACAAAATCATTCCCCATTGTCCTGCAAGCAACTGAATAACTGTCAAGGATGGCATGGAAATCAGAGGGTTTAACTTTACACATGCAAAAAAAATTAAATAATCTACTGTCAAGGATGGCATGGAAATCAGAGGGTTTAACTTTACACATGCAAAAAAATTAAATAATCTACCAAGATTTTCGATAAAAATATACAAAACCGCAAAATATTAGAACTTAATACATCTTAAGTAAAAAATAATCAAAAGAAAATATGAAATTAATACGATTTATGTAATGTAATTGAAATGTTGACATGTCAATTTTTACACAACTCAGAGGACATGTTTGAATAATCAAACCTACTAGGAAAAATAAGTGAAGTGCCACCTATATGATCAGTTTATAAATAACATCGTCTTTAATCTCTATTTTAATTTTTATTTTTTTATATGAACAATAACATTATCAACATTTTTAATCTTTACATTTATTAAATCTTTACATTTTACATAATTTTTACAGCCTTTTACCTTTCAATGTACTAAAGATGACCATGAGTAGGTAAAGAGGGAAGCTTGCTTTGGGGCTGGCTATATTTTGTATTCTGTAAATAAGACATATTGAAATCTGATATTTTATTTTTAAGTTTAACATAATTAACTCAGATAATTTACTCCCATAAATCGATCCATAGCAGAGGTAGCTAACCATGTTGTCAGTGGTTTTCCATTGCAGCTATGCAAAAAATGGGTATCCACGTACACTCCGGATACAGACGGATATAATACGACAATGTCTCCATGTCTTTGTAAATTTGTTTATTTTTAACCAATACACCAAACTTCATATGCAGATTACTCACCTATTCGCGAGCGGGAAAACTGCAAGAATAAGGTACACCAATGGGTACCATTTCAAAGGGCGGATATCCTCCTTCAATTGTTGCTAAAACAGAACGACAGGTTACTTTCTTCTGTTATTGATATTGTTCTCGCATCAAGTGGACAACAAAGTGAACTCCAAAATCACATGTGCTGATAGATGCATTTTCACCATTACTTAGATTGCAATTGTTATCTGCGAAATATGTGCAAGTAGTACACCTTTTATTACTACTACTGTCTACTACTTCAATGTTGCAAAATATTATGTGCTAGTGCACTCAAGTTTATTACTACTTATCTACTTCAATGTTGCAAAATATGTGCTAGTGCACTCACGTTTATTACTACTTATCTACTTCAATGTTGCAAAATATGTGCTAGTGCACTCACGTTTATTACTACTTATCTACTTCAATGTCACATACCCTTCTGCTTTCTCGTAGTGGATCGAATGTTCCATACCAGGAATTAGCCTGAAAGTTAAACGTGTAATATGAAAATGTTGTAAAGTCTAGCTACAACCCTTGTGACCCCCCCCCCCCACACACACACACACTACACACCACCCCACACGTATTGGTGAATTACATTAAAGGGAGCTAGGGGGAATACAGATACCTAAAGCAAGACTAGTTGAAACGTTAATTATAGGTTTAGGAAAATTTGAATAGGTCTCTGCTGAAAATATTAAAACGATGGATATTCTAGAGATAGCTTGTAGTTATACGAACCAGGTGTATAATAATGGGATGGTGAATAAAATAAATCAGAAACAAGAAAATGTGAGGAATACATTTTTGGGATTTGGATGGAAAGGAAAAGAACGTGTATGGTACAAACCTTTGCTCTTAACTTGAGGATTATGTATGTATATGTTACAAAGAGAGTCCCGACAATGAGTAGAACAGGAATGTACCATCTGAAACAGAGATAAAAGATAAGATTAAACATTTCCATGGTGACTTACCAGATCATAATTTAGTAATGTGGATGAATAACAATAATTTAATGAAGTAATTATTACTTACTGATAATACATCGCTCATAATTTAAACAATTCATTTACTCGTCTCCTGGGCAGTTCTAGTTGGTCAGATTCTCATATTAGCTTCAAAATGTATCTTTCAAAGTGTATCAATTATGCAAGTCAAAGGTTGTTCCGGGTGAATTTTGTAATTGTGGTGTATTTTATGATCAAAAATAGAAAATGGTGAAAGTTCCATGTTGTTCTGATTTTTTATACTATGTTGCATTTTGGGATTAGAAATAGAGAAAGAATTTAATTTACTTACATTCCAAAACGCCACCCCCATGCCACAATCCAACTGAAACAGATTCATATGAGCGGGTATTCGGTAAATTTGACCACCATATATATTTTTAGTAAAAACGCATTGAAACCCTAAAAATGGTTTTAATATTACACAAGAATTTAAGAGAAAACATAAGCTTTATTTGATTTGAATTTTTTTACTCAACGATCTACAAGGACCGACTGAGATATAGTTTCTATTCATTACTCGCATACCAGTATACGCCAGCTGGTCCATAGCCCCCTTCGAGATCGGCAAATGGTAAGCAGGACATAACAAAAGGTGCACCCCAACAAACAACATGATATCCCCTGTAGAAAAAATATTTGGTTAGTGTTTAATTGCTTGCCTGCGTCCTTGTTTCTTTCTTTGGTTTGTTTGCTTATTTTTTGTTCCTATGTTCTTGCTTCATCGTTTGATTGTCTGTTTTTGTGTTTGTTTGCTTATTTGCTTACTTATCTAATATTTTGTGTGTTTTTTGTTTTGTTTGTTTGTTTGTTCTGTCTGCAGAGTTAATTATATTATTAAATGAAAAATTGATTGAAGGAACTGTATCTCTCCCAGGCTGCATAATTGAAAGACAAGACCAATGCATGTTTACCATTCATATTTTTCTGTTATTGTCTCTCGGACCCCAGACATATATATGTTAAAGGTCATAGCAATCACCCAGGCCGTCACGCACCATACTGTAAGAGAGATATATACACGTATATGTTAAAGGTCATAGCAATCACTCAGGCCGTCACGCATCATACTGTAAGAGAGATATATACACGTATATGTTAAAGGTCATAGCAATCACCCAGGCCGTCACGCATCATACTGTAAGAGAGATATATACACGTATATGTTAAAGATCATAGCAATCACCCAGGCCGTCACGCATCATACTGTAAGAGAGATATATACACATATATGTTAAAGATCATAGCAATCACCTAGGCCGTCACGCATCATACTGTGAGAGAGAGATATACACGTATATGTTAAAGGTCATAGCAATCATCCAGGCAGTCACGCATCATACTGTAAGAGAGATGTATACACGTATATGTTAAAGGTCATAGCAATCATCCAGGTCGTCACGCACCATATTGTAAGAGAGGCATGTATATATGTTAAATATGCTTTTTCGTGTTTCAGATTTATCAAAATGTTCAGGTATGCCCCTTGTCTAATCAACCGTGTCAAGAGAAATATCTTAACCTGGGTCGACACTTTACACGACCTTGTAACTATAACCTTGACAAAGAATACTTTACGGTGGCTTTGCATTAGTCTCGTATAATTACTTACGCCACAAAGTCAACCAAAATCCTTGGAATCGACACAATGCCCCACCACTTCGATAAACGTCTCCCTAAAATCAATAAATGTAAAATCGCTGATAATCTATCTTACCCACTTACCAAGCCCTTTTTGATTTCCAGTTTTATACCTGGTATTCATACAATAGTTGCTCATAAAGTTGTCATAATATTTATCTAATTTCAGCAAAAATATTAAGTATAACAAAGATATTTCATGGGTGTAATTATAGTAACCAAATATTAAGGAAAGTGAGAATAAGTCTAATAGATCATATTTACACACATTACAAGATATTACATTTATACATTAAAATTTGATATGCATAGATCTTGCGAAAAATAAAATTATGCTTATAAAAAGGTATGTTAAGTTTGTAAAATCCTTTGTTCAGACTAGAAGTGATGATCTAAAACAACTTTGTATGACAAAGATCAACAGAATTACACTCCGTGTAGAATAGCCTTATTGAAAAAGAATTAAAGGAGCAAAACTAAACTTTCTTTGGGACATTTGGCAAAGCAATCATTGAATCTAATATCGCTCGTGACATTTCAATATTTCTAAAGAGGGAACAACACTTTCAGAAAGGCCTCAGTTAGGCTAAAATCTCCCGTTAAAAACAGATGTTCCATCAAATTACAATTGGAAAATGCATGATACATAAAGTATCAACCAATGTTCTTCTGAGATTAGAAGTCCATGATATGAAATAGACATGAAAATAAATATATTGGAATTGAAAAAATAAAATTCAAGGTCGTGTCAAATGCTGAACACCGAGCTAATGCATTAAATGTGTGAAAACAATTTTCGTGGCGAATAAAAAATAGAGACTTACCCAAAAGTATCCAATATTCTGCATCGAAGCAGCTATGATAAGATACAATATCATTCGCTAGAAATACAAAGATAAATACTGATAAATAAGCATGATGCAATTTTTATTTTAAATACAGAGATACACTACATTTATGATTTCTTACGTTTTCAACATATAAAGTCAAATAGCCTGGTCGCCCAGGCCCCCTCAGGCACCCCTCAAAAAAATTGAAAAAAATACCAAATAAAATTATATTTCTAGAGAGGGTGGGCCACCCCTCGCAACCCAAAAAACAATTGAAAATAAAATGTAATAATGACAAGTGATCTATGTACAGGCTGTCAGCATAGATGACGTATGTTCAGGGTGACAGAATAGATGACATTAGTTCAGGTTTTAAGAGTAGATGATGTAAGTTCAGGTTATAAGAGTAGATGACGCAAGTTCAGGTTGACAGAATAGATGACGTAAGTTCAAGTTGTCAGAGTATATGACGTATGTTCAGGTTATAAGAGTAGATGACGTAAGTAGGGGTTGTAAGAGACGACGTACATTGACAACTTATCAAAATAGATTTATTAGTATAATAGAAGTTTGTCAGAACACAAAATCTGTGACATACATGTACTTGTATATACAGGGTACAGTATCTGAAACGTAACGTTAACGTAGTCTGTACATGGAGTCTGTTTGTAAGGCGCAGAATAGGGTAGCAGAATATACGATTATGACGTTAATACATGGCGTAACGTATATATAATACAGGGTGTCAGTATGTATGAAATAAATAGAGGACCTTAGGTTTACCTGAGAAAAGATACGATATCTTCGGAAGATGAATATAATGCTGATGATGACAACACTGAAAACAAAAGTACACATCTTTAATTTTGCCTTTAAATAAAGTGACATTTCTACTTTGAAAAGGCACAAGGCAAAGTCTTATCAGAATATTTATGATATATAGTCACGAGATATATAGTCACGAGTTGTATAGCCTCGTGTATTTTACATTCAAATTTTTTCTTATTGTAGTTTAGTTTTCTTACCATCCAATAAAGGAGAAAGAAGCAAACACCTTTAGAACTGTCGCCAGAACATACTGAAAATAAATTGTATTTTGAAGTATGAAAGTTCAAAGTAGGACATGAGTGTGTAACTCGGATACTCACCCGCGGTATATGGTATATCCCACAGGTGAGTATTTCGCAGTGTATTCAGTGAATTCCGTATAGCGTTCTCATTGGTTAGTGAGTATGCCGTACACCACAAGTGAATTAAGTGAATATGCCATATTCCGTGTTTACGGCGCATAACATGATTGTTGAAAATCGAATTAGCCATGAGATGTATACGCCCCGTGTGGTGTCTTTTTCATGTATTGTATGAAACATTGTATGATTGATTTTTAATTTAGCAAATTGAATTGAAATTGAACAGAGTGCACGTGTACATAGGTATATATACCTACCGTCAGCATATACCTGCTTCATGGCTAATCATTCACTATAACAAAATGGGGGATTTTTGTAGAAATGAATTTTCTTTACCTAATTGGAAAATTAGAATAGGGAGTTTTAAAAATGAGGAGATATTAAAAAAGGGAAAGATGAGATTGGGATTAAAAACGGATAAACGAAAGAAGATGAAATCGACAAGAGATGCTTCGAATTGAAACAAGAGAAAATCGGTTGATTTAATCCGGAAACTGGCCATGGCTGACAGGAATGTATCATTTAACTTTAAAACGTTGATCTGTAATGTAGTACAAAACATGCCAGTAAAGTGTTGCGTCCCATTTAAATCTCTCGATATGCTGAGGGTTAAACATATTGTTTTGAAAAGAAAAACTATTAAGTAGCGAAATATTAATACACCGTACATGTACAACAAAACCTGCCTATTCCGAACGCTATTGCACGGTGTATAAGCCAAACGCTCCTACATGCACGACGGAACGTTTCATTACTGAAATTAAACAAATAAACGCTCCGGAGTAGGAAAACTGGCTGGCGGGAATGATGAGCCGTCTGACGATTTCCCCAATAATGGGAATAAGAGGTATGAGTTCCATATTTCGAGTATACCATTCGATGGGTGTGATATTCATGTTGTACTTGGCTGGCTGTTGACGTTTGAAGCAATTAGGAAGAGCTGTACGAAGCAGTATAGTTTCAAAATTCAAAAACGTATTTGTCATTCTACCGGTCAAAACCCCTTTTGTCGATACATGTGATTAGTTGAACCAAGATTAGAGAACTAACGTATATTTTAGTCAAATTCCAATGCTTCAACGCACCATACATCATCGTAATAGTGATTTGATGACCGAAAATCCAGTCTGAAAAATGATGACATTCTCATATTCAAGAAACGCTCCGATCTGGTTAACACAGTGAACTGGAAACGCTCCGGTAGTCGAGATCAGTTTAGGAAATATATAGCTTGCCTTTCCTTTTCAGGAAGAGAAAGAATAGATCTATTATACCCCTTGGCATCAAAAGAAGAAAGATTAATTCACATATAAATTTTAGTTTTTTTCTATAGTTTTATGATTTAGCACACATGTAGGCATGACATCATCTAATGTAGGCTTAAATCAGCTAGTTGCACGTTTAGCACCACCAGGTTCAGATGTTACAATTTGCCTAACAAGTACAACACGTTTTTGAGAGATAGATTCAATTCGGAACTCTTCTCTAATAATCTGAAAATGATATCAAAACAAAATGGTAAGAGCGTTTCTAAAATTGTGTTCTAAATCGACGGAGCGTTTTGAGGAAAACAAGCGATTTTTCGAGAACAAGTAATGGATTTGGACTGGGATTTTAGGAAATGAGAATATACGAGTTTGTGATCTACTACTTTAACAGAAAGATTAACGTTTTCATAAAAATACCAGTTTAATTCGTAATTTGTGGTCAAATCGTCATCTTCAGATTCGTTCGATCTACACTACGGAGCTTTGATCAAGCAAATAATAGTTTACCACCAGAAGTTGAATAAATAAGATATTTGCTCACGGTATTGTTCATCGAATGGTACATAATATTTCACCATAACATATGATATGTAAGAGAAACGAGAGAAACAATACTTACGGTCATAGTGGAATCTTCATTAGCCGCCATTTTATTTCGCTCCGGAGCGTTTCCGCGTAAATGAAACGCTCCGTCGTGCATGTAGGAGCGTTTGGGTTATACACCGTGTATTGGGACCGGTAAAAAAGTCTCCAGATTGGCAGGTGTTCACATTTTGAGAGTTATCTAATATGAACGTCCAGGGCGTATTAAAAACAGGAGTAAAGCGTTCACAATGAGAGTTGATCGCTGGGGGTTGATCAGATTACAGAAGTGTTCGGACTGGATATTCAGGTTTTACTGTACACTGTACACATATGCGACTTAAAATTATATAAACTTAAGAGATTACTGAAAGGGATTTTGTCAAAACTATAACATCGGTATGCAATGGCACGCGGAATCCCCTCCCGCCCTCCCCGCAACATAAAATGAGTGACAGGATAACACAAAACAATGATCCGACCTCGGATATACTTACACATTGGTAAACGCTATCAAACAATGTGCACTCAATTTCAGTATGATTCGTCTCAGGAGTAGTTGCAGCCTGTGAGGAAGACATATCCGTTACTATGGTATATGCAGCCGTTGCCATGCTAATCCCATTCGTTGCCATTGTATGAATCCAATGCACAGTTAGTATTCACTGAGTCAATATGTTTGTAGATCCATATTCCGTTACTGCGCAATATTCTATAATGTCCAATCAATATTAAAGGACTGTGTATTTGTATCTGTGCAATTGAACATCACAGTGATCGTTTTGTTGTGCTGTGTACGTCAGGTAAATGATGCAGGTAAATGATCCAATCGGGCACCTAGAAGCATGCGGCAATTATAGCTTCCTGGTTAGTTTCTCAGGCCATTCTAACGTATCAGAGGTCTAGACTCCCCCTGCGGTTGAAAAATCAAAATATTACATTTGGAAAAATATAGTTTAGTAATTTTTTTTCATCAATCGTGAAACTTTCATGAAAACAAACGGAATGGTAGTCCTCTGTTATCCAACAACAGCTTTTGTGAATAATGCTATAAAACGAGTGAATGTTTCGTACTTAGTGAAAACACTACACGTACAAGTACCGTCGTATTGAAAATTGAGCCATTCGTTTGGCAACCCCAGAGAACAACGGAGTGTTGCAGTAAAGAAAGTTCGGATGATGCACTTAAAAAAAGCCAAACAGTTCTAGTCTAATTATTTATTAAATTAAAGGTAGATATGTTTGTGTGAGGGACCCGTTAAAACAGCTTTGAGATGTTATGTGTAATCGTAAAATGAAGTTACCTAGACCTTAATAAAAAACATCTAGCTCTATACAACGGCATTTAAATGGCATAAACAGTCCAACAAAATAAGATAATTTCCCCCTTCAAACAGCACAGTTTATAATAGTCCATTTGTCAGCCCCATACATCCTAAATAAAGTGAACATATTGTTAAAAGTACGATGTTTTATGGTTAATTTATGATAATAAGGGTTTTCTGAAGTGATTTAACTGGGTTGCCGAAAAAGTTTGTTTGGGGAAAAAATGATATAGACTAATTAGGGAGGTCATTATTGAAATATTTAGTATCAACAAAGCAAGCCCAATGTCCTGTTTAAGAACCCATATTCTTACTATTGAAAATGGATTCTAGCAATACTATCCAATATGAATCCTACTTGTTGAGACCCCATCAAGGGTGCCTTGGCTTAACATGGGTTTGACTATTGACTCAGCATTGGGACACCATCAAGTATGTCACCATGGGTAGACATAGATACAAAATCCTCATTTTAATTTTTCCCCAGAATCGATGATTTTTGGCAACCAAGCTAAATCACTTCAATAATCCCTAATAATAGTAAAACAGCATACTTTTAAATATGCATACGTTGAGAAAATGGACTATAACAAGACATTAAAACATAACAAAATGTAACCACCTATTTACTCACATTATTATGAGTTCTGTTCAATCTTAAGTCAGATTTGTACTTTGCAAATTTGTAGATGATTTTGAAAAAATGGTCAAATTGAAGCAAGTTGAAAAGGGCCTTTTGACCTTTTTGACTTTGAGAAGGTCAAATCTCAAATCTAAAGTCAGATTTGAACTTCTGAGAACTTGTAGATGATTTAAAAAATGGTCAAGTTATTGGAAGTTGTTACAGTTGCCAATCGCTAACCACCAAGCGCCAGGCCGCCAACCACCAGACACCAACCACCGACACAAAAACTAGACCATAACAATATGTCACCACTTTTTGGTGGTGACATAAAAATAAACGCTGACCGAACTGATTAACCCATCAAATTAAACTACAGGGTGGGACAAAGAAGACAACCATAAAAAATCTCAATAACTTACAGTACAGTAAAACTTGTGTATAGTGAACATTTTTTTGCCAAGAAAAAACGTTCACTGTAGGTAGGTGTTCACTAGAGAGAGGGTAATTTATACAGAAGTCAGTGGACTATGTGCGTAGGAAGGGTGTCCACTAGGGACAGGTGTTCACTAGAGAGAGGTGTTCATTAAGACAGGTTTTACTGTATGTGCTTTTAAAAGTCATATTTAGCACAACTGAACCAATTTTGTTTAATGGTCTTCGAATTCCCTTCCAAAAGGTTTCAATGGTCTATTTCAAATGGTCAAGAGACCATTTAAAAAATGGACAAAATGTCGAATTTCTTTAAAGGCAAACTTGAACGTATCGGGTGAAGTTACCCGATGACACGCTCGTTGATATCTTGTGTAATTAATCTCCTTTACTTTCTAATCTCTTGTTTCAACTCGCTGATGCTTCTATGGTTGTTACTGTACACATCATGTTTGAAATAGCCCAAAACATAAAATTCTGGGGGTTCATATTGGGTGATTTTGGTATGTTTTTGCATTTAGAGCACGTTTTGTAAAATGTCAATAAAATTCAGACCATTTGGAATAGACCAATGCCACTCATTTGAATAAAAAAAAAACATTGAATAAGGTTCAATTGTGCCAAATATGACTTCAAACCCTTAAACCAGATGACTTGAGATATCTATATTTGTTTGGGTTACCTTTTTGGCCCACCCTGTATATTAGAGTGGCAAATAAGTGATCAATAGATCTGAAAATCATAAATTCTACATGTACTGGTATTTTAGAAATAAATATATATGCATGAATACGGTGGATGAGACTAAACATGATATATAGTATAAGAGATAATAAATGAGGGATATGAAGATCTACGAGGTTTATATAACATGTATGAGGTGGATAAGGCGACATGTAAGGTCGATTCTAAGATATTTATAAAACCTTTAATAGATGATGCAGTAGGACAATTTCAAAAACTGATGACAACATACGTATATACGAGAATGAAGATAAAGCTATAAGGTTAAAACAAGATCGATGAATGTGTTGCTAAAAAACATGGACATCAGGCCCGTAGCCAGGATCTGCCATGGGGGGTCACTTTTTGAAAAAATCCAGGGGGAGTTCACTTGTGACAATTTTGGTCTAAAATGGCCAAAACCACTTGCTCAGAATGGTGAAAACTGCATGATTTTGAAAGATCTTTTGGCCAGCTGGGGTTCGCCCAAACCCATCGAACCCCCCTGGCTACAGGACTGGACAATGTGTGATGATTCTAAAGATGATGGATATAAAACAAACAAAAACTAATTTGAATAGATTCCAAAAGTTTTATTTCAAATGAAATTGATTTTTACTATCATTCACAGCAAAAACCTATATTATGTTATTTTAATGAAAGATATGTATATACAAAATATTCATCAACATTTTTAAGACAAAATCATTGTAAAGATATACATGTACTTCAATGAAAAACACTATAAAACTAGAAATTTTCATATGCGAAAATAATTATGTCACGAGTATAGGTGCCTCTCTATTTTGAGGAAATTTTAATCATACAAAATTAAATTAAATACAAAAATCAAAATATCCGTGTTTTATGGTAACGATTTGTAAATATTATATAAATATAAAATATATTTAGTTTTGGCACATTTTTTTGAGTTTATATCACAAATACAGTACATGAAAATATATTCTTGACAGATTACATTTCAAGCATTCTCTCACTTGAGTATATTGCATTGGAAATAAAGAAGACCTCACTTTTGTATTCATTTGAAATATTACACAAGGGGTCTCCTTATTGTAGAGTTGAGCTTATGTTGGGAATTATACTGTCCTGAGTGACGCATCAAGGGAATTCAATTCATTGAATCTTTCAGAGGCTCTATTCATTTCATTTGTCCATCTAAGGGGTCCTTCCTCGATTTCAAATTCTGAGCTTGCACCTTTAAATGGCGTTAGAGTCCCAGTCAGACTTTTGGAGTATCCAAAATGACGGATACGGTAGGTTCCAGTCTCCTGATTGGTTGGTACAGTCCATGTGATCACAGCTTTACTATGGCCAAGAATTGTGTTCGTTCGCACCCATTGAAATCTAAAATAAATGGGGTTGTGTTTTATTGAAACTGATCCCAAATGATTCTTTTTCTGGGAGCTTATAAAAAATAAAACCAAATAGAAACATTCTAGGTGATTTATAAATTATCATGGGCTTCATATATTAACAATTCTTTTGTTATACGTAACATGGCATGGTGTAAAAAAACTTTTTAGAAATTGTACAGGATGGGAGAGTGTATTCAATGCTTTTTCAATGTACATCAGTGATAAAGCGAATATTGTCCCACTAAGAGCTTACATTGTCATAGTTTCTATTGATGCTACCTACCTAGGCCCAACTTTGTATGACTTATTAGGTCTCAAAGCTTTTTAATTTACAGTAAAATCTTGTTGAACACCTCTGAAAGTGGAACACCTCTATAAGTAGAACACTTGACTTATTGATGAATTCACCTCTAAAAGTGGAACAACTCCAAGAAAGAACTCAACTTGTTAGAGCAAAGGTGTTCCACTTTCGAAAGTTCTACTGGATATGGAAACCAGAATAATAAATACTTAGGCAATATAAATTTTCATCAGTTGAGAAAATAACCATGATCTATCATACTTTGTATCCCAATCTGCATCAGTGTATTGTACACTCCAAGTTCCATCTGCCTCTTTCTTCTCAACAGTCAGGAAGGTGGCCTCTTGCTGAAACATATTAACCAAGTTCACTGACTTGCATGTTCTCCTTAAGGAGAAGGGTTCCATGTTTTCTTATATAACTAGGGTTTGAAATTTAAGTTTATGTTCAGTACTATCCATCAAACATGAGTTTCATTAAACAGAACCTTTGAAGGCAGGTGAACTAAATGATGTAGTGATACCCAAAAATCAACAGTTCAGTTGCCAGAGAATGGTACACTGTAGGTTTAAGTTAATCTAAATAAATCACATTTCTCTTTAGTTGATTCATTGACAAAACCTTCCATGTGAACAGTGAAACGCCACTCGTAGGTTTGGGTGGGTTCCCATACTTGTTAAAATTCCCTACCCTGGAGAGCGACCTAGTGTCTCCAAAACCACCGAACTGGGAATGATAATAGATGGTGAAATTACTACTAGTATATCAAAATCGCACCCCTGTGATAAAACTGTATGTCTCATTTATGACCCTCCCAGTAGGGGGCCTATGCAAAGCTTTAAATGGTGAATAATACACTGTAGTTACAATAAAGATATATCTCACCAATGGATTGTTTCTTGGATGTCCAGTCACAAACTCTGCCTGTACTGTTGAGCCCTAGAATAAAATAATAAAAAGTATCCATAAAAATCTGTTTTGCTTGTCTCTGTTGTTTAAAGTTCTGGAACTAACAGGAAATTGGTGGACAAGAACAAAGACAAAAATGTAAAAAGTAAAATATTGACAAAGTTGCTGTTTAGTATCTTTCCTACAGGTGAATCCGTCAATTTGATTAATCAGCTCCAAATTGCTGTTATACATATTGGCTTCTGTCTCAACAACTGTAACAACATTTTTTGTTTAATACTACAATATCCTTGGCATTTTCTTCACAATCTCAGATAATTAGAATTCTTCAGCTCCTTCCAACAGGGTTCAACAGCTACAATATTTAAACTGTACTTAGACATTATGTGATCTGGACCATTGTCCACTTTTTGTTAAAGTGTTTGGCTTCTACACTGACCATTTCAGACTCACATGTTGTATTATTAAGTGATTTTATTTGTGTTTCTCTACTGGTTAAATCACTCATTTAGATAATCAATTTGAACAGGTCAGTCCAAAAAATGCTGTATCACTGACAGATACCAAATGTATCATAAGATTATTGCATTGTTTACCCATTCAGGTTATTTGTTTCTGTTCATAAAACAACTCAAGCAAATAAAAAATATAATATTAACTTGCATCCGAAGGTTATATTGACCTTCATATTTTATGCTGCTGCAGTTTACAATATTGCGCTTGACTCAGCCTTTTGAAAAAGTAACCAACAAAGTAGCCTCTTTCAAATGAAAAAATCTGCATTTAAAAAATAAAGGAAATATAATTTGGCCTTAAGAAAGGGCTGGTTCAAGGGTCTAAATTCCCTGTAGACTTGACCTGTAAATATTTAAATCCCACAATTTCGCCCTTCTTGTGTGTATGTAGGCTAATATGCATAAAACAATGCATAGAGTGACATCTATCTATGAGCATGTGATTAAATGTTATAATTCTCACTGCTTGAAGATTACCAAGAATCATAAAAATGACAAAAATCAAGGAAGTGACATCAAAGGAACTTGAACAAAATGTCCACTTTATGAGCACCGAACCCCAACTTAAGATGTCCAAGACTTAAGTTAGCCCTATCATCAATCATGCATGTCGATAGAGAAAATGTCACTACAAACTTTCCCATGTACTGTAGGTTGATAGGTGAACAATAAACACATTGGAAGTGAACACCTTTGGTGAACACCATGGTGATTTAAATCATAGACATCTTAAAGTACAACGATAAACACATCTTTGTGGTAAACACTACAGTAAACACCTCTCTCTTTAAGTGTAACGTAATTAATATTCAATTAATATTATGTCAAAAAACAATCTTCTCACCTTTGCATATTTTGGCTGAACATCTGTTAAAACATCCCCAAAACTCTTCAGGAATGGTGCCTCATCCATTATAACAGGAGGGAGGAAGCTCAGTTGTTTAGACAGCAGATTGGGAGGAGTAGGTCCAGGAGGCACACGCACTCCCTGGAATATATAGCATGAAAGATTTGTTTATATTTTTAATATGTACTAGGTATACCCGTGTACTAGGTATGCCCATGTACTGGCTATACCCATATACGAGGTATGCCCATGTACTAGCTATACCCATGTACTAGGTATGCCATCTACTGGCTATGCCCATATATGAGGTATGCCCATGTACTGTCCTTACCCATGAAAATAATTAGCTACTATTACATACCTTAGCCATAGCAACAGACATATTGGTGAACTCCTGGATGTAGGCCTGTAATGTGTGAGGTCCATATAGTGTAGAAGCACCTTCATATCTCTGGACCTATAAGAAACATAGAAATAGAAAAATGGCACCTTCATAGAGTAGCAAATTCAAGTGATAAAAATATGTGTACTTATCATTATGATATTTTACCAAAAAATAATCTCACATTTAATAATTCAAAAAATAACCAATTTTCGGTTGTCATTTTGTTTCTTAGATCAATTAAAACATACTTGATATTCTTCATAGGTAGCAATATAACTGCTATATACATTAGACAGGCCACAAATGACGACCTTCGTAGTGCTTGGAAACCCATTTGCCATCAATGTGTTACGAACAGCATCCTTTAATCTCCTCCCTGACATAGTGCTGAAACATAAATTTTGTTGGTATTGGTTAACATTTGAAGTATAGGATCTTATCCTATTTTCTGGGAAGATGTGATAAAGTCACTCTTGTGGTGGGAACTGAACCTACAACCTCCCGATTAGATTTGAGTCTTCAGATATGATGCTGAATCATGAATGGTGTCAGTATTATCTTTCTTAATATAACTTGTTTTTCAATAGATATATTTGTTTTAAAACTGAAGACACCAGGCAAGAGAATTAGTATCACTCAAATATTATTTTTACACATTATATGAAAAAAATCTTTTTAAGAAACCTCAACCAAAATTGGAAAAAACACACATTTCAAATATGAAAGAGAAAAGACCATAGAGAACGACAAAACAGCAAGAAAAACATTCAAAGAAAAACAAATCCAAAAAGAGTAAAAAACAAGATTTTCCTTACGTGAACTCTCCAGGAACAGCTACAATGATGAAGTCTCCAATTCTTAGAATCTGCAGATCTAAGATATCAGGCTGCCATGCATAGGGTGTAGTGATCTGAAACCATACGAAAAATATCACCTACAGTGTGAACATTTTAATCTATTAATTACAAAATGTTTAAACTTTTGATCATTGCAATAAAGATAATTCCGAATTAGTATTAATTCTCTTTTAAATCTCTTCTATCAAAACATCAAATCAATTACAAATCACTTTATCAGATCTTTATCCTTTGAAATATATGATTGCAACTGTTGCTTAAATTTCTTCAAACTGTCCTAAAATCAAAAAAAGTGAGAGAGTGTAACGACCCTGGATAGCAAGTTGCTAGTACAGCACAGTTGGTAGGGTATCGGACATAGGCCTATGATATCAATCTGGATCTGAGTGTCCTAGGTTCGATTCCCTGCCTGTGTCTGGATTGTTACACTAAGCTCGTTATTACTATGTTTTGCAGCTCTTGCTACATTCAAGAGAGTCAAACATGTGTATGTGCAGAGGAAGGGGGTCCACTAGAGACAGTTGTTCACCAGAGAGAGGTGTTCACTTAGACAGGTTTTACTGTAATAGTTTTATTCCCTGCTATTTCTGTATAATTTTGGGGGTGCCCTTGAGATGGATGTACACTTAAGAGAGGTATTAACTAAGACAGGTTTTACTGTTCCAAATTATATGTATTACCTCTCCAGTATCTATGAGGATTGGTTTAGGGTGTTGGCATGCCTTTTGCTCATCACTGGGATTGTGCAGTACTAAACCACTTATCAACTTCCAGAATGCATTGCCCTTTGTGTCCCCTGAAATACATAAAAGTTTTATATAGGACAAAATTGGCCTTTCCTACTGGGTCGATCCTTTATAGAGATGTCATAAATAATATCATACAAAATCTGTGTAAATAGGACTCAGGTAAAGATAAATAATAAGAGCACATTTTTCAGCACTTTAGAGGAGGGCAGAAGTATACTTTAACATATACCTTGAGTGAAGTCAAATGCTCCTGGTCCATCAGTGGTCCCTGCAGCAAAACTGAACCCCATGGAGGGTGGGCACGTCTTCACCTTTGTTGTAGCATTCAACTTTACGACAACTTTGCTGAAGTCAACAAACTGATGACGGAAGTCTACTGGTCCTGCAGGTAGCACTCTAGATGGGGCATTAAATAACTCCTATAAATGATATAAACATTACAAAATACCAATGATAATGTTGACAATTGGTTCAAAAGCCATATAGCATTTTAACAAAATAAACATATTGAAATCCAATTAATTGTTAATAACAAATAATAACCTCATTAAAACATTTCCCTGCATATTTGAATTTTATGTTGACCAATCAATAAAAATGACAGAAAACCCTTTGTTATTAATACTGTATATAATTTCCTATTACAGAAAAGGTTTATTGCTAGCCCTGGTTAAGAGACACTAAGCATGTTATCTACACCAGATTTTTTCAGCATCTAAACCCAAAAAAACATGGTGATTTCTCATAATTTTTTGACCACTAAGTTTGCTGAAATCCTTATGTTAAGTTCTTATAAGCCTTAAATGAGAACGATACAATTATTAAAGCATTACCTTAGCTTTTGCATACTGGTTGTGGCCAATGATCTTTGTGCTATCAAACATATCTTTCCCTGGACCTGCTGAGTAGCACAACTCACTCTAGAAATACAGAAAATGTCCAAATGCATCCAAATTTTAGATAAAGCATTTATTTTATAATTTACAAGATAGCTTGTCAAGAACTTCAAATACAGCTATAGGCTAAAAGAAGATATGTGATTGTAACCAATCTTGGATGCAACTGTTTAGAGGAAGTATTCCAGATATAACATACAGCTCTTGGGGATCATAGCCACTACAACCTGTAAATATGTTACACTGATTTTAATAAAAAAAAAATTTCATGAATAAATCTGTTTATACATTCCAAGCAGTATAAAGAGTGGCCGAAAAGTAGAGTGGCCGAAAAGTAGGATAACAGTTTACAGAAAGAAGAGATTGTTTGATAACTGTAAATCTACTTTTGGTAACCCATTACATGTATATCATGATAACAATCCCATGCATACCTTTCCTCCACATGTGCTGTGAGCAATATCACAGACCTCCCCTGTGTTTTGACAGTGTGGTCCTTTGGTGTTTGGTGATACATCACCCTCATTGGCTTGGCCAAAGGCTGCAACAAATGGGCCCTAAAAACAATTTAAAAATGTATGTTGTATTGTTTAAACACAAAATTTACAATTTAACATCTACAAGATGTCGTAGATCAACAATGTTGTTTTTCCTTCACAAGATACGATTTTCATTCAAAGGGATATCCAAGGAATTAGCAATAAAGTTGAAGTGATTTCCATTTGAAAGTTGTGCAATACACGTTCTTCGAAATAAATATGAACAAATGAATCCATTAGGGGGAAAAGGAGTATATCTATGAAAAAGAAATAATTGTCCCCAAGAGAAAATTGTCCTGCTGTGTTGGCAACTACATTCTCAAGACAATTAAAAAAACAAGACAATAAATACCGCTAAGGCCATAAGAAGTAGATTCTTTGTTTTGCGTCTTGGCAAAATCCAAATCATGCAAGGGTACAAGGAAAACAAACACAAACTCAAGAAAAAACACAAACTTGTTTGCTGAAAAATGTATACATTTTATGGGCATAAAAGGGGATGACATACCAATTTGCAGTGATTACAAACACATATCTATACATTTTATACAATATATTTAAACATAGCTATTATTCAAGGGTAAAAAATAAGAAAATACACAATGTATGCCAAAGTAATAATAACACTGTCAATTTTGATTCAGATTGAACGAAATGCGATGGTACTTTCAGACCCTTGTGATTGCTACTTGGATGTGTTTGTTTTTTCTGATTTACTCAAAACCATGCAAGCAAGGGGACGCAAAACAAATAATCTACTTCCTATGGCCTAACTTGATGTCCATGCATTAAGGACCTTACTAAGGATCATATGATGCATGCACTACATGTAAACTAACCTTGCCAGGCCGGCTACCAGGGTTCATGTCTTTCTCAAATAGCTGAGAGGCGTATCCTTTATTGTCTCCACTGATCAGATGGTTGGTGTTGTTCATACTGGTAGCATGTACAGGAAACCAACTGAAATGCCAATATTCAAATTGTTAGTTGTCATGAGATGAAATAATGTTGGGGATAAAGAGGATGTGAGAGTCTAAGAAACATCCAGAAGAATGTGCAGGAAACAATATTACCAATCATATCACCAATTTAAACGCCAAGGGGAATTAGGAGTGAATAGTGGTCAAGAGCATGGGAGGGTCCCAGAGAAGGGGGTAGATGAAGATGGAGGTTGCAAAGAATAGGGATCAGGGAATGAGGGGTCAAAGGAAGAGGGGTCCAGGTGATTGGCCCATAAGATGGAGTTCAGTGGATGGTAGAATCCAGATAAAAAGACCTGTCCGCATACAAAGAAAATAAGATTAAATCTTGAAGAATACTTCTACAGAGTTTCTTACTTGTAAAGCCCAAGTGCCTTTCCACTTGCATCCACAAATGTCATCATCGTCATATTTGTATCTGTGTTGTATTTGTACTTTGCACGCTCTTCTGCAGGGTTATTGGCATATGCTGTAGGACTTCTATTGATGTTAGAGCCCACTAGTTCTCCTTCGTTTATGAGGAGATTTCCTGGTCTTAGATTAGCATGGGCCCTCTCAATACTCTGAATATATGAAGACATGGTTAAATTTAGTTTATTGAACTGTTTTTCTTCGTTTTTTAACAAATCATTTCATTGAGATTATTTAGTAATACATTGATGATATGTCACATATTTTTGTTTCCCATTGATAATTTTCTAAATATTTCGAATCAAACTATTATTAAATTATCAAAATTAGCAAAAATGTTAAATATATTCATGAACAGAGTGGTATCGATATGGAGAACTGAATTCAACAATGTTTTTCTCTTAAACCAATCATTGAAATCATTCTGTAAAAAAACACGGTATTTTATGTAATGTTGACAACAATTTAATGCGAAAATTATTTAGAAATATTTTATATTACTGTTTTTGTTAACATTTTTCGTTTTTCTAGTGCAATTGTTTTTGCTCCTTTCTACCAATTCTTGAGAATGAAATAAAATGTCTTTCCGAACCTTGTTGGAACAAAATAGCATATACAAAATGTTTTTAGACCTCTCAATATTATAGTTATACAAAGGAATTTTTGGTTCATTTTAAAAAAGTATTCAAAAAATTAAAACAAAATCCCCCAAAATAGATAAAAATCAAGATAAACCTTTTATTTCATTAACAAGATACTTTTTTAAAATGAACCAAAATTTCCTTTGTACAATTACAATATTGAGAGACCTAAACATGTTGTGTTTATGTCGTTTGTTCCAATGAGGTTCGGAAAGATGTTTCATTTCACTCTGGAAACATGATACCAAGAACAAAACAAGTGTTTGATGTGTTTGCTAAAACAATATAGATGAAAGTATATATATATATTTCCAATTATATTGTTACTATTCAAAAGATGACCATTAAATTGACAATGTGTAAAATTTTCAGAATTTTTTGATGACTGGTTTAAGAGAAACGTGTGTTCAAAAAGTTCGCCATATCGATACCCATCCTTTATCAGAACATGTTACTTATTGAAGGTGAGGCAGTTATATAAAACTTTAACTAATGAAAACATTTTTATAAAAATAATGATAAAAATCCATGAATTTTCAGACAAAGTCTCATACTTACTCTTGTGACACCATCTATAAAAGCATTCAAGGTCTCGCCAACAAACCCGAGGGAAGTGACATCATAAAGAACATACTGGTGAAAGCCGGCAGGACCAGAATGCGTATGTGTGCCACTCATGACGACATTCTCTTCTGTGTACATAAGGTTATTGAACTTGGTCTGCAGAGCTTTAATGACCTATAAACAATGAAAATATAAATATTATAACTGCTACAAACATTAAAACTTGCTATGTAGTCTTTACAAATGTAGAAACATTTGGCTGCCAGCCAAAATCAACAAATAGGAAACTTTAGTGCTGATATGTTCGAAAATATAGAAAAGGAATTAAAATGAATTCCTTTCACAGAGTCATCATTTCTACAAATAGGGTGATCGAATTTTGAGTTACATATGTTTATATGAAATGGAGTGACCTATCTAATTTGAGATGTGGTGTAATTGTAAGATATCATCATTACATCTTTTATCATATCTGCTTACGGCATATGGGAGATTCATTCAAAAGGTTTGTATTATTTACCGTTGTTAAATTTTTTTAACTTGTTTTCTACATGCTGCCTCTAATGTAACGTTTGTATCAGAGTAAAATAACATACCCCCATTTTCATGGTTCGAGACACCATTCCACAATCAACACTGACAAACACAACTCTATTTTTGGCCTGTTTATCTGCGACAATAAATGCCCTGCTGAATAAACGTGTGTGGATACCTTCCGTTGTCTGACTAGGGTTGGCATAGCCCATCTGAAATTATAGAACCAAACATTCCTTTAACATATACAAAATGTCATCACCTTAAAAAGTGTAAAAAGTGTTTCATATGCTGATACGAAGTAAGTAATGGTCACTGGCTGTAACAATATTTCATGCCTTTACGAATAGTATTTACCATCGAAAAAGTTAGACTTTGAAATATAACACATGAATTTTATTAAATAAGTGCTTATTACAGTTAAATGTTGCATTTTAAAAATATCTACAACCCTGTGATTAAATGTAAACATATTATATTGAAAATTGCTTTAGCTTTGTGTTACAATGCTGATGATCTGTTTAATGCCAAAAGCTATAATTTATTAATTTTTGCATTAAGCGTTTCCCTCTGATGATTTTCTCCTTCATATTTCTTCATTATTATACCGTTTATAAATTATTAAAATCAATAGATAACAGAAGTTCTAGCAAACAAATAAATCAATGAGATATTGTTTCATCAATTGATTTTTTTATTTATAAAAATTACATTTTCTCTCATTACATTTTTGCTTATCTTTCTAATTATCAGGCTAAATAGGTTTCTTAATAATTTGTTAACAGCTTATGAAAACCTTTTAAGATATGGATAAGATAAATATAGCAAAATTAAAACCCAAGTGTGTTTTTCAGTTTTTGAACATCCTTCCTTACCACTCCCACACAGGTAATTATGATATTAAACATTTATACTCTGTGTAAAAATGTGGAAAATGTGAGACATTTTATCACCCTCTTACCTAAAATAGCTGACTTAAAATTGATTCAGCAAAGCAAAAATCTAACTATTTCTCGAAGTTCCTCCCGAGAAATATCCCAGGAAACTTCAAATCAATCTATGAAAAGTTTGCCTTGAAACACATAAACAAGTCTTAAGACAAGTCAGGATAGAAAATCAAATATGGCTACTTAAAATTTACCTTAGTTAACCATAGTCTAATCAAATCTTTAATCTGAGAAGCATCCATGACAATCTCAAGTAAATCCTTCAAACTAATAGAGAGAACTTTTCAGTTTAAGCAATAATATACATATGATGTAATACATATGATTGACAAAAATTTATATTTTATAGAAATATGTATATGAACAAATATAAAGGTGAAATAATATTTTGAGTTCATCATTACACCAGGGAATATTTTTGATATTTAAAAAAATTGTATTGTCCCCCCCAATCTTATTCAAGAAAATCATATTCACCTCCCAATCCCACTCATGAAAATGGTATAAATCTCCCGGGAATTTTTGACAAACAAAGCTTAGTATTTCGGGGCGATTAAGCATGCCATAATGATGTTCTATGTGAGAAGCAATATTTTCCAAACAAAGTTGAAAACAAATATTTTGAAATGTAAGAGGTATGAAGCTACGGTATATATGCCTATAATGTATATAACATAGGCAAATTGTTATTTTGTCAGTATTCTTCGACACATACAGTCAACATAAAAATCTGAGCAATAAGTAAATGCTCAGTGATGGACATGTATATTTATTCTTGAATTCTTTGATGCCGATGTGTTTTGTTATACAATAAAATTGTTATTTTTCAAAATGTCATAAAGTAAAGTCATATTTTTGTAGACTAAATATTAAATCTGCTTTTGTTTCATACCAAGATCAGATATGGATTTTGAACTAATGATTTTATTGAGAGACTTATTAATATCATGGGATAAAACGTTGTTTACTAGTCAGGATTAAAATGTAAATATGGATTTATTTCTCGTGACAATATATTTCCCTCTGGCCCTCGGGAATCACATTGTCCCTAAGAATAAAACCCATATTGAATCCCTCCCAGTAAATAACCTCTATATATTGAAATACTGTATATGATGTACAACAATACATCATTCTCATATATTTATATATTTTTCATAAGTGATACATCATTATACATGTATATCATTTTACACATTATAATGTTATTGTTTACCAGCTTGGCTTTCAAAACTTTAAATATATTTTGATGACACATTATAACATCAATGATAAATGTACCTTTGGAATTTAAACAATAGTATAGTTTCCATATAGCTTTTGAAATCTCGCTAAATCTCGTTTTTCGTGAGATTTTAAGAGACTTGCATATTAGACCTCTAATGACTTACATTACCTTCTTTTAAATGGTATATTTGAATTCAGTGGAATGTTTTCTCCTAAAATAGCTTTGATTTACACAGTTATGTAATTTGAATAATTTTCTATGACAATTTAAAAAAAGTTGGGCCAAATGTCCATAGATGCAATGCTAAAATTCTTTAAAACCGTGGATTATTTGTATGTCAATCAACATTAGCATGTTTAATCACAACATGTTCATAAACAGGGTCATCATGTGGTATATCATTCAAGTTTTATACAGATTCAACAAACACACTTTGATAAATCATGAAATTAAGCCACTTTTCCAAGATTTTAGCATGTAAGTGAATGGAGCTCTAGCCAGAGTTAAAAGCTGAATAAAAGATGGCAGCACGAGATTTCATTTATTTTTCTGCTATTTAGAAACTATCCTATTTCCCATATAAGATTAACAAAATAACAATATGTAATTTTAATATTTTTTTAGATTGTGATATGTCACTATTATGTACATATATTTACTATGATGTTAATTAATAAATAAAATTATTTAAATAAATATACACAAAATTCCATTCCAACACAAGTATCAAGCAGTCTTACAATTACAGTGAGAGAATACGAACTATTTCAATATACATAAAGTAAGTTCGTATTCTCTCACTGTAATTGTAAGACTGCTTGATACTTGTGTTGGAATGGAATACTGACCAAGCAGTCCCCTCCTTCTCATTGGATAACCCTGTGTTACTATGGAAACGCTCAGACCACAAAACTCCATATTGGCATAAGTGTAGAATTTGTGTTACTTCGCTATACCTGCTAGTTGCATAAATAATTTACAAAAGATAATAGATTTATGTTGACAAGAATAATATTATATGGCCATTTATTTCATTATAAAATATTACATAGCAAGTTGGGCATTATAATCTCTATAATAAAGCTAAAAATCACTTATTTAGACAATAAACAATGTAAATGGTCAAAATGAATGTTTTCTTTTTAATATTATTTTTTCTGCAATGTATTGAAACATTTAATGTATAATAACACATCATTCTCATATATTTCTTATAAGAATATATATCATCTTAGAATAATTGCTTCATAAAATGTCTCAGTAAAATAACTCCAAAAGAAATAAGGTAGATAACTAAACCTTAAATGAAAGCACTAGTACAGAATAGAAATGGTCAGTCCAATTTCTAAATTAATGGCCATGCATAATAAAATATGCAATTAAGACACTATCTCAGATATTGCCTTTGTGCCATATGGTACCTATTTTTTAAACAATGTTATAATATATATAGGCAGGAAACTTGACCAGTTTTCAAGCAAATCGTCCCACACTTCAGAGATAGAATAAGCAGACAGAAGTCAAACAGATACCAGAGAAACTAAAGACTACTGTACATTCAAGGTAATTTTTAGAAGATAAGGAATTTTTTGGAAGGTCTATTGTTTTAAGTTACAGTTAAATATGAATTTTATCTGGTGTTACTCACAGTATAAGGGATGTGGATGCCACATTAACTGGAAGGTTTTGATACACAATTTAATGGAGTGATTGTTCAAAACCCGGGGGTTCAAATAAAGTATTTAGTAGAAGGTGTTCACTGAGAGGTGGAAGGTGTTCACTTATAGACAGGTTTTGAGGTTTTCTCAAGAACACTTGAGAAGTGATGCATATTTGACTCTCAAGAGTTCAACCCAAAAATAATGTTCTAGAACCAAATTGTTTTACAAAAATAAATGTTCATTTGGTGTGTTCAATAGGGCAAAGTTTTACTGTCACTCAACATTTTGATCCTAAAGGTAAAACCAAAAATAAACTTCCTCTTGAACCAAACTGTTCTAGAACTAAGTAAATATATATACATTAAATGATAGCCTTTTAGAAAAAATAGTAATTATTAAAAAAGCTTAACATACAATATGCTAGACAGATATCATTGTCAATTACAGGCTTTTACATGTGAACCAAAGTTTTACTGTGTAGGGTCTGTACATGTGCTTAGTACAAAAGTATATGAAAATAATTTCTTTTTCCTTATAAGTGAATAATAAACATACAAGTACAAGTACAAACAGTTTTTACATTAACATTGACATATTAAACAAAATGTATGATATTTTGATTATGCTTAATCTATAATTAAAAATATTCTAATTTCAGATGTCTTCTAAATTGTGCCTATTTATGATGTTGGCTGTAATTGTTTGTTTGGTTGCTGGGCAGTATAATGATGCATCATGTCAAGAGGGGATTGACCTGTACAATGACTGCGACAAAATACAAAATGATCCTGAGCTGAGCAATGATGAAGACTACAAACAGAAATTCATCTCAAAAGCTTGTGAAAGCACCTTATATTTTGAACTTTATAGAGATCATTTCTGTAACGAGTAAATAATCATCAATAAAAAATAATTTGAACAATTCAATTAAATAGTTTGTTCACTTAATACTTTCCATGCAAGTATGCTTGTTAAAATATTTCAAGAAAACTCAAATAAAATGTTGTAAATTATGATATTTTTTAACACAATCCTCCAGAAAGTTATCCTCCAGAAAATGGTGGTAAAAGCAAGGTAACAAAAGTAGAAGAGATAGGGAGTGTGAAATGCAAGAAGAAAAATATTACAATGGCATGCAAATTACAGGCCCATAGCCAGGGGGTCGATGAGCCAATATATAGTGCAGCAAAGAGTGACAGGATTTATTGGAAATGTATATTCCTTTGAAAGGCACCAATTTAATGCCATGGTTGATTTGCTCCAAAATTCAACATCAACACTGGCTGATGAGTATTTGTTCAAAATTGCATTCAGTTTTGAACAAAAGATTTTTTCAATCCGCCAATAAGTCGGTAGCCAAATTAAGTGTATCTACAGTATATCTCAATCTAATGAACGCTTAATTCCATTTAAGGTGGCCATTTTGACTTTTCAGGGGCACAAATCACAAAACTGGTATACTCTAAAATACCATCTTTATAATAATGCCATACCTAGTGGCAGATTGATAGATCATTGATAATAGTTTTAATATATTACTTTTTGTGCCATATGGTACATAGTTATTAAAAGATTTTTAGTATAAATGCTTGAGAAAGTACTCAATTTTCTCACCGTTATCATCTGAAGCTTCCAACATCTTGAAGAGAGAAGAATCAGGGAGAAAGAAAAAGTTTAGGAAATATCCAAGGTAAAAAATTTTAAATACAATAATTTCTATAACGATTTTATTAATACAGTATTGCATCCGGGTTCTCACTAGGCTTTTAGACTCTGGAGATTCTCAGGAGTCTAATGTCTTTAGACCTTCTTGCTCCAGAGTCTAATAGCTTTTCCAGAGTCTAAAGTGTTTTTTCTGGAGTCTAATTTTACATTTTTGTCACATTATTTGTGGTTAAACTCTTAAAAATACATAAAAGTAGATACAAACAAGGAATAGTAAGTCAGAATCTTTTAGAAATGTATATTATAGGAATATAATCTTAAGTACATGTAGTATACTAAAGTATACTAATAGGATATCTCTAATCTCACTTGGGGTGGAGTAGTCATGATTTGCGAAAAAATCCGGGGTCTAAAAATTTCCTCAGTGAGAATGCTGTGCTTTCTATGTCGATGGGTCAAACAAACCTTTCTTGACAATTAATACCATCATTACAGTAAAACATTATTCCTGTTTTATCAATTAAACCACTACTTCAGTGTTAATTCAATCATGCACAGCTTGTTGTTAAAGACATTTCATGCTTTGTTCCAATACTTGACCATAGTAATCAAGATATAAAAAAGCAATGTTCTGTGATTCAATCAATGTTCAACATCACAAAAAACATAATTGAATCAAAATATAAAAAAAACTCATTAAAAATCACTAAACCCCGCTAATACATGTAATAAAAGGTGAAATTGATTTGTCAAAATGAAAATTTCCCTTTTAAAATTGCATCCAAATCTCAATCTTTTTGTTATAAATAAAGAAATGGAAGTTTACAGGGCATGTAATAAATGCATATAGATGAAGTTATCATCAATAAATGTTGTGGCTGTATTTTTAAAAATGAGTGATTAGGTAACAATCAAAATAGTGAAGAGAGTTGAAGTAAGTTATCTCAAGCTATCTAAGAATTACCCCCCCCCCCTCCCCTCTGTTCACTGTATAATAAGCTACAGCATAGATTTCATAATGATACTGTCATCTCTTAGTATTTATAACAGCACCTCCACTGCTTGATTTACAGCAAAAAGATTGACTTTTACAAGCTGGTGACATTTATAATAGATCTCACACCGTAGAAACACATCCGGTTAAGAAAAATTATAAAATACCTAACAGATTTCCCCATGCCGTGCACCCATTTATTTTTAAACTTTCTCACGAAAAAAAAAAGAATCTTGCAGATTTGATGAATTCTTCAGAAGAATCAGCTGCTTCAACCCCTCCCCTTCATTCATTTTTTCCAATAACAAGACAAGAAAGGAGCTTTTGATTTGATAAAATTGAAATAAAAATTGCTACTAGGAGTCTTATTTGGAGGAAAATTATGCAACGAATTGGAATTATTGAGAAATATGTCATCAGATCGAAGATAAAACGTGTATGTCTTTAATGATTAAATATGTACACTGTAGATCTTTTAACATTTTCAAAGCTATATATAGAGAATGTCATGTATCTTACATGAACATGTCGAAAAATAGTTAAGTGCTCATCCATTTGATTATGTATTGTACACTGTAAATATTATGTAGTACTATATATTTTGTCGTTCATTTTTTAAAAAAAACATGTGTAATGTAACTTATGTTTTATTTTGTTCTCATTTTAGATGTCATCAAAATTGTGTATTCTGATGGTGGTGGCTGTTGCCATTTGTGTGGTTGTTGGACAACCAAAGGAATGTGAAAGGGGAGTGAAGCTGTACAATGCATGTGACACAATTCATAATAATGATAAATTTAAGGGTGATAAAATATACAGAGCAAAATTCATTAAAAAAATCTGTGATGAAAAAGAAAAGCCCTATATTTTGTACCAATTGTATGAGAAGTTTTGTGGAATATCCAACGAAATTGAAAACGAATAAATTTAAGATTTATTCACTTTAATTCAGCTTTATGTTGCTTTGTTCTCCATAATTATTCAAAAATGAGTCCACGTGAGTCATGGAAAGTGTTTAATAAAATAGAGGAGTTTCTAAATAGCTTTGAAATCTAACTGATTCTCTTTTTTCATGAGATTTTTAAGAGATTTGAACTTTTTACCTCTAATGACTTACTTTTCTTCATTTTTGATAGCATATTTGAATTCAGTATGTCATTAGAGTTTCAGACAGATTCAACCAACACCTTTTGATAAATCATGAAATTAAGTGACTTTTGCAAGTTTCTAGCATTGAAGTGAATGGAGGTCTGGCCCAAGAAAAGACAAACTAAGAAAACGGCAACTCCACGGAGTAGCAAATCCCATCAAACACCATAACATATATGAATCTGTATCTCTCACAAAAAAATGAACATTGGAAACCTTAGAGATATATCAGAATTACTACCAATTTTAAAAGCATTTGGGTTTTATTTACTCATTTATGAGTTTTAAAGGCACAAATAATAAAGACAATTTCAATGAATTTTCTGAAGTACAAATCAGGAAAACAATACCAAAACAGATCAGAAAATTATTGCGAAATTCCTTTTAAGGTGGTGGCCATTTTGAATTTTACGAGGCCCAAATGACAAAATGAATACCATATTTGCAATCTTCCAGAGGGACGGACTGACTAACGGACGGAGGGCTTCACTATATCCCTACTGAACTTCTTTCTTTGGGATAACAATGGTGACATCTATTATGTCAGCCTTATTCAGCTATTTAGAAACTATACAATTGGAAGATGAGAGAATTTTTCATGAAGATGTTAGATGATTTGAAAAACTGCACAGAAAAAATTACTGTTGCCATTGCTAAACAAAAATAACTATGTTGTTTATGAATGATATGTGGCTTTGGTATGAATTGAAATGTAAATAATTACACTCATCACATTCATAGTACATCGGGGACACATTCTATTGTTTTTAATTGACAGCCACCCATATAGCTTTTCTAAAATGTGAGGTTACCAAAGAAGATTTTTAACAAAAATGAGGTGATTAACCCCACATTGTTGAAAAACTAGAGCTTTGGGTTTATATTTGTGACAATATCTAATGTTACCTGATGCTTTGAGAATGTGATGAGCCTATTGGCAGATGAGGAAGTATCAAGAATACAACATGTACGTTCACTGACACCAACAAATAAGCCCACAGTGAACAGAATCGCACCCTTGAACAGAATACACTTTTCAGGATGGAAAATTCAAAATGGCCACCTTTACATTTACCAAGACTGCCTAAACACTAATCAGTTCTAAACTTTCCATAGAAACATCTCTAAAATTTTAGGATGAATCCATGAAACCTGTAAACAACCCTCAAGAGACATGTTTTAAGGTATTACTTCACAGTGTATCAGCTTTTTTCTACAATTCAGATTTTCCTGAAAAAAATCCTGGTACAAGATATATTGATGTATTACAAAATATGTGAAAATTGGAAAGATTGACCATTTAGTTATTTCTAAAAAAAAACATTTTAATTTAACATTGCTCTCAATGGGAAATTCTTTTTTTTTAAACAAGCCATCATATACACGATTTTAGGACGAAAAATCCAAAATGGCCGCCTTAACATTTACCAAGATTACCGAAAAATTAATCAGTTCTAAACTTTTATAGGTAGAAACATCCCTGAGAATTTCAAATGAATCCCTCAAAAGGTTTGGCTGGAACCCTGTAGACAAGCCTTGACAGACAAGATTTTAGGTGATTGACCTTTTAGTTATTTCTAAAAAAATATTTTAATTTAACGTTGCTCTCAATGGGAAACATTGTTTAACCATTCGGTATAGTAAAGAGCATAGGATGTCGACATGGCAGTAAATATTGAAAATATTGTCCGAAATTTTCGAAATTCCCTCTTACCGGAAACAAATCCATTTTACACTGAAGTGACGTAACGAAAAACCAAGTTCGTGCTATTACGGAAGAGTTCGGGAAATTCCGTTATAACCGCCATCTTAATCGAACTTCGACCAAAAGAGCCATAAGAAACAAAAAGACCTCGTTCTGCCAACTAACCCAGACAATCGGTGGTTCCAATATATTAGAAGTAACATTTTGAGTTCTAGAATGCATTGAGGTAGGTTTCTTAAGTGGAAGGGGCGTAGATAATTCTCCCAAGTTGTAATCGTACAGGCAAATGTATGGGCTCAGTACAGGACATGGGCTCTATCAGTAGAGCCCATGGTACAGGACCATAGTCCGGGAACAGGATAAGATTTTATAACCTCAGAATACTGCCTTCAGTGTCGTGTTTGGCTGAGTTCCACAATGTAACCTTGCAGGATGGATGATATAGAACAAACTGCTAAGTAGACACACGGTAACATTTCATTATTTCGTTATTTTCACCATATGAACTTATACCATGGGCTTTCAACTCTAGTTCAGATTCTACCCAGAGGGCACCATTGGTGAGGACGCACAAAGAAACCCAAAGAAGACCAAAAAGAAACTGAAAGAACTTTCTACATACCTATACTCGCCTACAAAAGTATAATTGTAGATCTGGAGTAGAAATTCAATTTCAGACGTAAAATATCATTTCCGTAAAATTGACCACTCAATAAATCCTTGGGAAAACGCCATTAGTAATATACATACCATATTAACTCCAGCTACAGAACCCGTCACATCTCCTATACCCACTCCGACTAGGTAGTTTGTATCTTGTGTCGCAGTTACCAGAATATAGGTGGAAATTAAAAGGAAATATTTAAACATCCAAATTTTTTCTTCCGCCATCTTGAGATCATGTGATCGTTGAGCTGTCACGTGATTAATCTTGCAAAAATTCCCGGGAAAATTTTAAAACAATACCTTGTCTTTCGGTGCTCCGGACTTGGTCCCTATTTGGTGACATGCAGGCCCTGAACATTTTATTTTCTGGTACAAAATAAAGTATGAAGGTACAGGGCCGTCAGATGGGGGGGGGGTGCGATGGGTGCGACCGCACCCCCCTTTGTCACCCCACAAAAAAAATTGAAAAAAATGTGTTTTTTTTGAAAAATATTTTTTTTGTAATTTTTTTTTCATTGACTCATACACTTTGAAAGTGCCCAGAAAGCACCAAAAAGCGTCGTAAAATTGTAAAATTTTCTAGGGGGAGTGGGCCACCCCTCACACCCTAAACAAAACAATGGAAAGTTCTTATTGACTCATATCGCACAGGCGTACCAGATGGTTGCAAATTCGCTCCAAATACAACCAAATTTCAAAATTTTCCTGGGGGGAGAACCCCCAGACCCCCTAGGCCCTGAATGCTCAGTTTTTTATTCACTCAACTCTTATTCCCGTGGTGGTGGCGTACTACCCAGATAGCACAAAGACGTCGGGCCGACGTCGCTATTGGTGGCCATTGGTTGGCATGGTCGCAGTTGGCAAATTGTAGTTGGGCCAACGTTGGCCCGTCGTTGGCTGCCGCTAATACCATGGATCAAAATTGCAGTTGGCAAATTGTAGTTGGGCCAACGTTGGCCCGTCGTTGGCTGCCGCTAATAACAGGATCAAAATTGCAGTTGGCAAATTGTAGTTGGGCCAACGTTGGCCCGTTGTTGGCTGCCGCTAATACCATGGATCAAAATTGCAGTTGGCACAGTGTAGTTGGGCCAACGTTGGCCCGTCGTTGGCTGCCGCTAATAACAGGATCAAAATTGCAGTTGGCAAATTGTAGTTGGGCCAACGTTGGCCCGTCGTTGGCTGCCGCTAATACCATGGATCAAAATTGCAGTTGGCAAATTGTAGTTGGGCCAACGTTGGCCCGCCGTTGGCTGCCGCTAATACCATGGATCAAAATTGCAGTTGGCAAATTGTAGTTGGGCCAACGTTGGCCCGTTGTTGGCTGCCGCTAATACCAGGGAGCCACCTATCGATAAATCAGTGCAAAATTGCAGTTGGCAAATTGTAGTTGGGCCAACGTTGGCCCGTCTTTGGCTGCCACTAATACCAGGAAGCCACCTATCGATAAATCAGTGCAAAAATGCAGTTGGCAAATTGTAGTTGGGCCAACGTTGGGCCGTCGTTGGCTGCCGCTAACACCAGGAAGCCACTTATCCATAAATCAGTGCAAATGCTTTGCTTAAAAATAGAAGAAAAACATACCAGCAGTCATTAAAAAAATTAAGGTAAATTTTATGAAATATTTTCTTTCAAAATTATCTGATAATGTTGTTTACCTCAGAAATATGGATTTTCGCCTTGTAATACAGTTGAAACCACTTATAAGGCTACCAAATATATTTAGTATGGAAAAACAAGCCACCATATTTTATTGATGTAGAACGGATATTATTTGTGAACACATTTACGGTTGGAGCATCGTATGCCCAGATATCACAAAGACGTCGGGCCAACGTCACTACTGGTGCCTATTGGGTGGCATGATCGCAGTTGGCCCATTGTTGGCGGCCCTTTGTGGGCTGCCGCTAATACCAAGGAGCCAACAATGGCTGTACAAAAAAGTAAATTGTGTCAATGGTGGGCCAACGATGGGCCAACGTTGGTTCTTTGGTGGCTGCCAACGTTGGACCAACGTTGGCTGGCTGGACATGCCAACGTTGGGCCAACGATGGACCAACATTGGGCCAACGTTGGTTCTTTGGTGGCTGCCAACGTTGGACCAACGTTGGCAGGCTGGACACGCCAATGTTGGGCCAACGATGGGCCAACGTTGGTTCTTTGGTGGCTGCCAACGTTGGGCCAACGTTGGCTGGCTGGACACGCCAACGTTGGGCCAACGTTGGCAGCCACTGTTGGCCCACTGGCTGGCATGCTGTTGGCCCAACGTTGTTGTGCTATCTGGGTACTTAGAAACTTACACATTGAAAGTGCCCAGAAAGCACCAAATAGCATCTCAAAACTGTAAAATTTTCTAGGGGGAGTGGACCACTCCTCATACCCCCCACAAAACAATTGGAACGTTTGGAAGTTGCATTTGTTAATTCCAAACCAATATAGGGAGTAACTGACCCCCCCCCCCCCCCTCTGTCTTACGCGATTTGATTACGCGGCAAAAAAATGACAATTTTATATTCTCTTTAGTAAGCTAAAAACCGCACCCCCCTTGGAGAAAAGTGTCTTACGGGCCTGAGGTATGTGTGTATTTCCTTGCTTCACCAGATCAGGAAAGCACCATCATTATTTTAGTGAAACTGGTGTTAGAGGACAATGATCATGATGATAATACGGGGATTCCAGAAACAGTGGAGAGATTTGGAAAATTGAAAAGGCTGCCATGATTTTCATAAAATCACGTACCCAAAAATTGTGTAGGGCCTCATAATAGGTCCTTTTTAGGCCAAAATAAAAAATGGGGCGTTAAATTTTCAAAATATGGGCCCAATTTTTGGTTTTAGGGGCTCAACATTTTTTCCGATGGCTCAAAATTTGCCCCCCCCCCCCTCCTATTATCTTCTGATTTAAAATTCACGATTTGAACTTCAATGACCTTCTCAAGGTCAAAAAGGTCTTTTCAACTTGCTTCAAATTGACATATTTTTCAAAATCATCTACGAATTCTCAGAAGTTCAAATCAGACTTTAGATATGCAATTGAGATTTAACCTTCAATGACTTTCTCAAGGTCAAAAAAGTGGTGACATATTGTCATGGTCTCCATTTTTGTGACGGTGGTTGGTGGTGTAACACATCCCCTCAACTCGTGCATTGTGGTAGCATGAGTAGCATGTCTTTACAATGAGTCTTATAAGAAATCAACTTTTATGTCGAAAGAAAGATGGCGTTCTGGTGAAAACTCTACATCTTGATTTCACTGGGAATTGTCTAATGAAAGGGGGATAATATAACATGACAAAGGTTTTAAATAAATAAACGTACGTATTTACAGGTGTATATTTCGATGATAGAAAACATAACAAAAATAACAGTAACAATTAGTTCTGGATAGTCAAACTGTGTTCTGGGAGAAGTTTCTGTATACAAAGTGACTAATGACACAGACTAGAATGTCCAACACGAGCTATAACAAGTGAAAAAAAAATCATCTACAAGTTCTCAGAAATTCAAATCTGACATAAGATTAAACTCATGATATTGTGAGCAACTAGGTGGTGACATTTTGTGACTGTTCACGCCTTGTCCGATCTGATATGGTCTGTCAATGGTACCTGACCAACTGATCATGAGTTCTGCTGTCAAACAATTGTCACACAATTTGTATCAATTATCTTCCAAATGTTGTAGGGGTCACTAGATGGAACATGGTTGGGTGCAATTGAAATTACATTGTCATTGGCTTTACAATCGCATAAAACATAACAAAGAGGGTGTTGAACAGTCCATTTCATGCTAATATGAAAACATGCCATTCTGCTCAATTGTTCATCAAAATGGCCAGTCACCAACAGAAAACAACCAAAATAGCTTCGGCCAGCACCTGGGGGCCAGTAACTCAGTAATGAGTAAAGTTTAATCACACATTTATCTACCCTATTCACCCATGGCTAACGACAGCTTATCTCAAGTTTCTTCACAAACTGGCACACAGTCGAGATGTCAGGGGAGGCAATTTATGTGCAGTCGCACGAACAACCTAAACATATGTTAGTATCCTAAAAATCATAGATGATGTGAATCACATTCCGCTAAATGAATATACTATCAAGAATAAGCTTATTGGAGTATCACAGATTCATCCAACACGAACATATTTGAAAAACTTACGTAGAAATGGACTTCTTCAGTTACTGTGGCTGAAATTTTGAAAATTTAGAGAGACGTCTCAAAAGTTGGTCATATATGTACGTATATCTCATTTGTCTCTGTTCACAGATGGCGCTTATTGGTGGATTTTCAGCCTCTTTGATTTCTTCTTTCATGAAAATGGTCCATATTACCCAAAATTTTAGTATTGTTCCAGGCTATGAGTTTGTCACATTCTCATCCATGTTCAGTCACTGCTGATTGGCCTGTGGAGTCTCTGCGATGTTTTGTGACTGTACCTACAACTTCAATATGAACATTTCTGGACGGATGAACATTCATTTTCATAATAATAAGCTTGGTCGATGAACTTATTCGTTTTGAAATATCGTGCGGTTTTTACAAGACAGTGTTGTTTTATCCCTACCTGTGAATGACATCTACATCAATAATCTGCAAAAAGCTATAATAAGCCCATAAAGAGGTAATATAAGCTGCATTTTTGAACTGCCCACGGAGCAATTTGCTCGCACAGCACTTAATGAGCCTTCCCCGCAAGTATCACGAAAAAGATCAATGTACATCGCACGTTTACAACAAAAACGGCTCATCCAAGCACTACTACACTCGTATTCCTTTGAATTAGCAAGAGTCGAGAGACTGGGACTATAAATAAGGCAAATTTCTTAGATACCTCTCGAAATGTGACTGTGAATATTCATAGGCTTCAGAGGTGTAGATTGGTCTTTGAAATGGCTGGGCAAAAGTATAATATTCGAACCTTTACATTAAATCATTTTACAATATACCATGTACATACCAATAACGGGTAAGATGCTACATACACTCCCCTCCATAAGTTTGGCAACCTTTTTCCCCCATTGAACTACGTGTTAAAGCCTCTTCACGTTTGAATTTTTATTTACTTAACCGGCGATGAAATAACTTATGATATTGATGGAAACGTAACTTTACTTTATTTCCAATTCCTCCAAATTTTCTCAATTTTTTTCCTCAATTACAATACGTCGAAAATTGATGATAAATTTGATGAATTTTTGAAAATCGTCATTCCCATGTTATCCAATGGGAAATGG